AACAAATGTCATTTTTCCTTTGTAAGTAACCAACCAGCTACAGACCATAAATAACAGAACTATGATATAGATTATTGAGCACTAGTGTGGTACAGTGGTTAGTGTTTGACTGGCAAACTGGAATGTGGCAATGCTGGGCTGATTTAATTCAAGCCATAATAACCACATAGTAGATAAATTTGGGACATTCTCTGTCTGTCAGACCCACTTCCCAAAGTCGTTGCAAGAAGAAAGAAAGAATAACGTATGCAGCTTTAGAATCACTGGAGGAAAGTGGGGATGCCATGTTAAATGAATAAAACTTATAAAAACATAATCATTGTCATGTAATTTTCAGGTATGAAACAAGTACAGAGAAACAAAAGTATTTATCTGGATTTTTAAAAGCCCCACAAATTTTGTGAGTAATAATTAGAAAACATTGTAGCCAAAAATATTGGAGTATGTTTTTCCTTTTAAGGTTTTTTATTTTATTATTACTGGTACCAGATAGTATTTCGTGCATAGTTAGGTCCTCAGTGGAGTAACTTAATGCTTGATCCATTTGTATGTTTTCACAAAGTGACAGCATAATGAGAAAATAACAGTAACTAAAAGTATGATACAGCAGTAGGAATCATAGTAGGAAACATTATAACTAAGTGCTAGCTGCACTAAATCAACACTATCTTGTAGTTACATTAGTAAAACCAACTATTTTGTGTTCAAGTCTTCAGCTAGCTAGACCAGGGGTCCACAAACTTTTTAAACAAAGGGCCAGGTCACAGTCTCTCAAACTGTTGATGGGTCGAATTATAATTTGAAAAAAACATGAATGAATTCCTATGCACACTGCAAATATCTTATTTGTAGTGCAAAAAAATAAAATAAAAACAATACAATAATTAAAATTAAGAACAATTTTAATAAATATAAACTTATTAGTATTTCAATTGAAAATGTGGGCCTGCTTTTGGCTGATGAGATAGGATTGTTGTTATTGTGTGCTTTCAAGTAGTTTTATACTTAGGCTGACCCAGAGCAAGGGCTGGGTAAATGACATTGGAGGGCTGCATCTGGCCCTCGGGCCTTGGTTTGAGAACCCCTGAGCTAGACCTTTTGGAGGGTTAAAACCACAAACAGGACTTTCTGGGAAAACACAGCGGGCAGTAGCAAAAAGTTATTTGAAAATGATACACAGTGAGCTGTATCTCCAGAATTTTTAATGACTCATTTTGAGTGACGGTGGGTATGTGAACTTCCTTGTGCTACATACAATTATAGAAAAACCTATATAAATTTCACTTAGACAGAAATTAGGCAGAAGAATCATTCTCAAAATAGATGTCATGCCACTTGAACTTTCTTGACAGATTCGTGCATCAACATAGATGACAAGGACAGAGAAGCTTTACAGTGACATATTTCTTTGCTCTCATTAACCATAGTTCATACATCAAACCCTGATCTGAAGAGGATAAATGCTCCCTTTCTTTAAGGACAGTTCTTCAGAATTTTGTCCAGCACTTAAGGAAGCTTGTGACATATAAGTGTAGTCTTTTCTTACAGAAAAGCAATGCAAGGTATTGGGTTTTTTTTTTAGTGCTTTGCAAGAACTTAAACTCTAGAACATGCTACCTATCAAAGTCCACATGGCTACCGCCAAATCTATGCCAGCTCTTAAGTTGTTTTATATCAGGGATGGGGTAAACCCTGGCCCGAGGACTGGATGCGGCCCCTTGGGCTCTTTTCTCAGGCCCTCCTCTCTCACACCATCCTATCCTTTCTTCCTTCTCTCTTTCCTTCCTCCTTCCATTCTTCTCTTCCTTCCTTACCTCCCTCTTTCTCCTTCCATCCTTCCTTCCCTTCCACCCTTTTGTCAGTCTTTATTTCCCTCTTTCCTCCCTCCTTCCCTCTCTCCCTTTCTCCTTCCTTCCTTCCTTCCTTCCTTCCTTCCTTCCTTCCTTCCTTCCTTCCTTCCTTCCTTCCTTCTCCCTCCTCTCCCTTCCTCCATTCTGTTCCACCCTTCCTTCCTTACATCCTTCTCTTCCTCCCTTCCTTCCTTCTCTTTTTCCTTCCCCCTTTCCTCCTGGGGGATGTTTAGTTGGGAGAAGAGAAGATAGAGAGGCAACATGAGAACCATGTTTCAAGATTTTAAAAGGGTGTCCTATTGAGAAGGAGGGAGAAAACTGATTTTCTGCTGCTCTAGAGACCAGGGCACAAGGGGGCGATAGGTTCAAATGGCAGGGAAAGAGATTTGACTGAAAAAATTAGGAAGAGCTTCCTAAGAGTAAGAGCAGTTGGAGAGTTGTGTAGGCTGCCTCAGAGTATGGCAAAGTCTCCTTCTCTGGCTGTCTATTGGAAGTGCTTTGATTGTGCCTTCTTACACAACAGGGGGGTTGGACTAAATAGCCCTTGGGGTCTCTTCCAGCTCTAGGATTCTAGGTTTATACTGTATATCAGGAGTAGGCAATACAAAGTCTAATGGATACACTTGTTCTCTCTTGTCCACATCTCATCCTGACCAAGGCCAATCCTGTTGGGATTCAAATGTGTCCCATCTTTCCTTCACTTTCTGCCTTTGAAATAGAAGAGGAAAGGGCATGGAGGGGACTTGGTAAGAACCCCCTCCCTCCCAGCCTGCCATGCAGCCCCCAAGTTAGAAAGTTTACCCAATATGTGTTGTTTTATATACAACACATATTGGCTGACCATATATTAGACTCTCCCATCATAGTACTTCTTCCTGACTCAGTATGATACTTCGGTATGAAACATTGCCTTAGAGCAGAACTTTCCAAACTGTGTGTCATGACAGGTTAGTATGTCAGCTGCAGTTTGTAGGTGTATCACGCAAATGTAATGAGAAACCTCTGAGTTTACTTAAAATAACCAATACATTCTTTTTTAAAAAATTGAAATGTTTTCATAGGTTATGTTTTATCTCAGAACATTTGTTATTACAATTTATGCATGTATCTGTACCTCTTATAGAATGATGTCTATTGTTAATTTAATAAGTTTGGTTTACTTTCTCACTTTTATGGATTGTTTAGTTACTTTTGTTGATTTTATTTACATTGGTTATTGGTTTATTGTTTTATTATCATTGTTTTATTTTGATTATCATTATGTTATTTACACTGTTGTAAGCCATTCCAAGTATCTGAGGGAGATGGGGCAATGTATAAAGTTATTATTAAAGTAAAAGGTTTCCCCTGACATTAAGTCTAGTTGAGTCCGACTCCATTTCTAAGCCAAAGAGCTGGCGTTGTCCGTAGACACCTCCAATGTCATGTAGCCAACATGACTGCATGGAGCACCATTGCCTTCCCTCAGAAGCCATACCTACTGATCTACTCACATTGCACGTTTCAAAATTGCTAGGTTGGCAGAAGCTGGGGCTAGTAGTGGGAGCTCACCCCGCTCCCTGGATTTGAACTGCCAACCTTTTGATCAACAAGTTCAGCAACTCAGTGGTTTAACTTGTTGCTCCACTAGGGGGCCTGCAAAAATCATTATTATTATTATTATTATTATTATTATTATTATTATTATTATTATTATTGGATTACTTTAACCTCTGGTCAGCTAGTAAAACTAAATTGCTGTATTGCAAAACAATGCATATCTAAAGAGTGTGTCACCAGCAAAAAAAAAAAAAGCCAATGGGAATTTGGCCTGCATCAATAAGAGTCTAGCGTCTAGATCCAGAGAAAGTCATGCTACTCCTCTATTCTGCCTTGGCCACACCACACTGGAATACTGTGTCCAATTCTGAGCACTGCAGTTTAAGTCAGATGATGACAAACTGGAATGTGTCCAGAGGAGGGCAACTAAAATGATCAAGGATCTGGAGAAATAGCCCTATGAGGAGCTGGGCATGTTTCGCCTGCAGAAGAGAAAGCTGAGAGGAAATATGACCTATAAATATGTGAGGGGAAATAGGGAGGAGGGAGCAAGCTTGTTTTCTGCTGCCCTGGAGACTAGGACTCGGAATAATGGCTTTAAACTACAGGAAAGGGGATTCCACCTGGAAATTAGGAAGAACTTCCTAATGGCGAGAGCTGTTTAGCAGTGGAACTCTCTGCCCCGAAATGTGGTGGTGATTACTTCTTTAGAGGCTTTTAAACAGAGGCTGGATGGCCATCTGGGCAGGAGGGGGGTGGTTTGAATGCAATTTTCCTGCTTCTTGGCAGGGGGTTGGACTGGATGGCCCACGAGGTATCCTCCAACCCTATGTTTCCATGCTTCTATGAAATGTTTGGAAAGCTTTGCCTCTGGGCATCCACAGAGAATTCTCAAAAGGGATAGCATCCTAATTAAAAGGATGCCTCACGTTGCAAATTCACTAGGAAGAGGATTTGAGTGTGGGTTTTGTATTGCGAAGTAACCAAACAACAGATTTGTTTGGGAGGGAAGGGGGGGGGGGTAAAAATGACGTTTTGATCCAGAAATCAAAGACAAGGCAGAAGATCCCCAGCAGACAGCCAAAGAAGAAGGACCCGAAGAGCAGTGCAAAGATCGCCCTGAGGAGACAGCATCATACCCAAGCCTTTTGGCTCCTTAGAGCAAAAGATGGATGAGTGGATAACGGTCCCTTATAAGAACAGAGTCCCTTTGCCCCTCAAAGACCACGAAGTGGGAGCGTGAAAATCCACTCAACCCCTGGAGCGCAACTCTTCCTCCTCCCATTCACTTTCGAAAGGAACTCAATGGGCAACACCAACTACTCCAAAGAGAGGGCTTCTTTTCCTCAAGGACCACTATCTCCTGACAGGCTCCCTCCTCGCGCGGCCAAGTTCCCCGTGTGTGCGCGCGCGCCTTTTTTTGAGGGTCTTCTTTTGCGCCTCAGACCGCGCGCGCGCGCGCTCTTGGAGGAGCAGAGTCCGCTTTGCGGCTTCTCTTCCCGCCTTTTCGACAGAAAAGAGACGCATTGTTGCCTTTTTGGGAGGAAGGGGGAACCCTAGGTGGGCAACTCTGTCAAAGCCTAAAGAAAAGAGACGGTTTGGCTAACTTACCGGTGCTGACCCGCGCTCCGAGCAGCTCCTCTCTCCGGCTCCCAGACATCCTGCAGGACTCCCTCCCCGCGTGCCCAGAACCAGCCTGGCGGGAGGGGGGGGGGGAAACCAAGGGGAAAGCAGCCCCTTTGAAGGATGGAGAGGAGGAGGAGGAGGAGATGGAAGGGGGGGCGACGAGTGCGCGTGCGCGCGCCGGTGGAAGAGCGACCTTTGAAAAAGCCAAGCAAAGGACTAGTTGGGGGGTGGGAAGCGGCGCAGCTGCAGCGGGTGCCCGGCGAGGCTCGCGCGCCTCTCCTCGAAGCCGCGTTTTCCTCGACGGCTTTCTTTTCAGCCTCGCGGGGCGCCCCTTGGAAGCAAGATGAGGCGCCCCCTCCTTCTCTGCCGAAGCCGCGCGCCAATCAAGGCTGGAGTCGCAGAAGCTGTTCGCCTCCACATTGGTAGCGAACGGAGCAAGAGGAAGGAAGGAAGGGAGAGACTCCTCCGCGAGGGAAGAAGGACTCGCTCACTCACTCTCTCGTTCTCTCACTCCGTGGGAGGAGGGGGCGGGAAAGTGCTCGAGTTGCCATTCTGCGTAAGGCAGGGGTGGCAGTGATGGAGAGTTGGCGGCGTCCAAAGATGGAAGAGCTAAGAGTAGTCAAGGGCTTCGTTTGGGGACACCTGAGGGGCTCCTGTCCCTTTCATGTGTGCAGAGATGTCAGAATCCCAGCATGTGTTCTTTCTCGCAACACCTGCTGAGATTCTCTCTTCTATGCAACTATTCTGGCAGCCTCAGGGCTCTTCCACACATAATTATAACAACAACAACAACAACAACAACAACAACAACAACAATAAACTGACAAAGAAAAAACATGGCTATGGCTCACAAATGGAACTCTGAAAAAGGAGACCGAGGGCCTGATTCTGGCAGCCCAAGAACAAGCCATTCGAACCAATGCCATCAAAGCCAGAATTGAAAAGTCGACAACAGATCCCAAATGTAGACTCTGCAAGGAAGCAGATGAAACAATAGATCACATCCGCAGCTACTGCAAGAAGATTGCGCAGAGAAACTACAAGCAGACACAACACCGTTGCTCAGATGATTCATTGGAACTTGTGCCACAAATACCATCTGCCTGCGACAAAGAACTGGTGGGATCACAAGCCGGAAAAAGTTACAGAGAATGAATACGCCAAACTCCTCTGGGACTTCCGCATTCAGACAGACAGAGTTTTGCAGCACAATACTCCTGACCTCACGATTATGTTAAAAAACAAAGTATGGATTGTTAATGTCGCAATCCCAGGTGACAGCAGGATTGCAGAGAAACAACTGGAAAAACTGACACGATATGAGGATTTAAAAATCGAACTACAAAGACTCTGGCACAAGCCAGTCAAGGTGGTCCCAGTGGTGATCGGCACACTGGGTGCAGTGCCTAAAGACCTTGGCCTGCACTTAAACACAATTGACACTGACAAAATTACCAGCTGCCAGCTGCAGAAGGCCACCTTACTGGGATCTGCACGCATTATTCGCCGATACATCACACAGTCCTAGACACTTGGGAAGTGTCCGACGTGTGATGCCAGCAGAGTGTTTGCTGTGGACTCATCTTGTTGTGTTTCAAATAATAATAATAATAACAATAAACTTTATTTATACCCCACCACCATCTCCCCAATGGGGACTCAGAGCGGCTTACATGGGACCAAGCCCGGACAACATGTTATAGCAAAATAAAACCTTTTATACTAATAGTGACCCAAAATGCAGACTGTGCAAGGAAGCTGATGAAACCATGGACCATCTCCTCAGCTGCTGCAAGAAAATCGCACAGACGGACTACAAACAAAGACACAACTCTGTGGCTCAGATGATTCACTGGAACTTATGTCACAAGTACCACCTGCCAGTAGTAAAGAATTGGTGGGATCATAAACCTGCAAAGGTCATGGAAAATGAACACACAAAAATACTATGGGACTTTTGAATCCAGACTGACAAAGTATTGGAACACAATACACCAGACATCACGATTGTGGAAAAGAAAAACGTTTGGATTATTGATGTTGCCATACCGGGTGACAGTCACATTGAGGAAAAACAACAGGAAAAACTCAGCCATTATCAGGACCTCAAAATTGAACTGCAAAGGCTCTGGCATAAACCAGTACAGATGGTCCCAGTGGTAATCAGCACACTAGGTGCTGTGCCAAAAGATCTCAACCAGCACTTGGAAACAATAAACATTGACAAAATCACAATCTGTCAACTGCAAAAGGCCACCTTACTTGGATTTGCACACATCATTCAAAAAATACATCACACAGTCCTAGACACCTGGGAAGTGTTCAACTTGTGATTTTGTGATATGAAATCCAGCCTATAGATCTCATTTGCTGTGACATACTATGTTTTTGTGTCAGTAAAATAATAATAATAATAATAATAATAATAATAATAATAATAATAATAATCTTTATTTATACCCCACCACCATCTCCCCAAGGGGACTTGGGGTGGCTTACACGAGGCCAAGCCCAACAATTACAACAAAGCAAATATATAACAGAAATAATACATCAATAAAATGTAATGAAAATGATAAAAACAAATATAAACACACAATGCAATATAAAATCACAATCATTAATAACGATGGGCAGGGCCAGTTGCAAAGACTAAAATGTTTAAAAACTCTAGGTGAGATAAGCAGTGTATCTGGAGGAGGTTCAGGTGGGATGAAACAATGGGGTTTAACTGCACTAGCGGGTGAGATAAAGTGTATCCGAGGGCATTTTATGCAGAGTTTGGTCAAGGTCAGGGATTTTTCATTCATTGAAGGCACACCAGAACAGCCAAGTTTTTAGGCTCTTCCTGAAGACTGCTAGGGTGGGTGCTTGCCTAATTTCTTCGGGGAGCGAGTTCCAGAGCCAAGGGGCCACCACAGAGAAGGCCCTCACCTTCTTCCCGTCAAGTCGCACTTGCGACAGGGGCAGGAGCAAGAGAAGGGCCTCTCCAGAAGATCAAGGGGATTGTGTAGGTTCATGGAAGGAAATGCGGTCACAAAGATAGGCAGCTGACTGGATTTCAGAGGAGGGATCTAGCCAAACCTCCTCTAAGTACTCTTAGTCCTATAAAAACCCTGTGAAATTCATGGGATCACCATTACCATGGTGGCTCAATGGGTTAAGCCCTTGTGCCAGCTGAACTGCTGACCTGTAGGTTGGCAGTTCAAATTTGCAAGATGGGTTTAGCTCCCATCTTTCAGCTCCAGCTCCTATGCAGGGACATTAGAGAAGCCTTCCACAGGATGGTAACACATCCGGGCAACGTCTCTGCAGATGGCAAATTCTCTCACACCAGAAGTGACTTACAGTTTCTCAAGTCACTTCTGACATGATAAAAAATATGACTTGAAAACGCACCAATAGATTTAGAATCTATTTGGGGACATTCTAGAACAGGGGTCCTCAAACTAAGGCCCAAGGGCCGGATGCGGCCCTCCAAGGTCATTTACCTGGCCCTCGCTTAGGATCAACCTAAGTCTGAAACGACTTGAAAGCACACAACGACAATCCTATCTCATCAGCCAAAAGCAGGCCTACACTTCCCATTGAAATATGAATAAGTTTATATTTGTTAAAATTGTTCTTCATTTCAATTATTGTATTGTTTAATGTGTTTTATGCACTACAAATAAGATATGTGCAGTGTGCATAGGAATTGGTTGATTTTTTTTCAAATTAGAATCTGGCCCTCCAACAATTTGAGGGATTGTGACCTGGCCCTCTGTTTAAAAAGTTTGAGGACCCCTGTTCTAGAACATGAGCTCAGGTCCCATAATGAATATTTATTTATTTATTTATTTATTTACTCTATTTGTATACCGCATATATCAGCCTGAGGCGGCGACTCAATGCGGTTTACAATAAAAACAACACTAAACAATGTATGAGACACACAATACAGACAAACACATAATCATCAACGCCACACTTAGAATCAGATTCCGATCTCAAAATCCTTTTTCCATTCCTTGTCCGATGCCGTCATTATTGAGTTAATTGCCAAAAGCCTGCTCGTAGAGCCACGTCTTCACCCTCCTCCGAAACACCAGTAACGAAGGGGCCTGCCTGATGTCCACCGGTAACGCATTCCATAGCCGAGGGGCCACCACCGAGAAGGCCCTGTCTCTCGTGCCCGCCAGCCGCACTTGTGACGCCGGCGGAACCGAGAGCAGGGCCTCCCCGGAAGATCTTAACGCTCTTCCCGGTTCGTAGGAGGAGATGCGTTCGGAGAGGTAAGTGGGGCCGGAACCGTGTAGGGCTTTATAGTTGTAATACACATGTATTACAACTGATTTGTTCTCCAGAATGCATGTCTCCTGTTAAGATGGCATTTTTCTTTTGCGGAGAGATATACTACCATTGGCATAGTCTATACACAGTGATGTTACCCTGATTTATAGTAATCCACAGCACAAAGCAACACACAAACTACAGCCCTCATGTGTACAGTAGCTACATCCAACTTGCAGGCTGCCTAACCATTTGGGCAAGCTGAAATCCCATGAATAATGCAGAAATGTACAAGTGGGTGAGAAGGCAGATATCAGATTGTTCACATCTCTCCCAACACCTAAGACTTTGTGAATTGTCAAGTTTCTGAATAATAAATATGGTCTTTTTCTCATAACAAAGAGTTCTATTTCTTATAGCAAAAGGTTCTTAGGCTGGTCTTTGCATGTTTGTGATTGTAGAATTGACTGTCCTTAGCAAAAAGTGTAGCTTCCACATAGCCTTAAATCTTGGCAATTCTCAACTTACAAATTAGACTTCTTATACTGTGTAACATACAAACAAGGTACAACTGGGTAATTTTTTACTACAAAGCTTCCATCAAGCTTGGGGGTTGGATCCGGATTTAGGTATAAACAGCAATCATCTGGTCATGACAACCTCTCAAAATACACACAATGCAAAGGGCTAAGACGGCCTGCAAATAGTTCCCCCTTCCGCACCCCATATCCTAAGATCCAATCCCAGATTATCTTCTTATCCCAGGTTATCTGGCAGTGTAGATTCTTATAATCCAGTTCAAAGCATACTCTGGGATCAGATCCTGGGACAATGT